ACTCAGACTGAAGGAGGGACCTGACAGCTCTACAGGTCTTTATCGGCTCATCGCTCCACGGCTCGCTGGTTACTGCTTTAAACTCTGATGGTTTTATGTTCAGCTCAGTTTCCTGTAAAATCACACTGTGGGTTTTTAGAAGGCAACAACTTGTACAAAGTGAAATGAGTGAGACGTTTCTGCAGCTGATGAAGGTTTGCTTACAGATCAGGTTTTTAGCTCAGAGTCAACTTTTATCAGTTTTACTTCCTGTTTTTAGAACCAGAAAAGTTTTCTGAGATCTTTCAGTTAGTTTTGTAGAAAAAACTCAAACTTTTATTCAATTTTTCAGAWATTTCATGTTAGTTTTTCCTGCTCTCAGTGACTCTTGTTATTATTAGTTACATTTTGTTTCTCATTAATTCAGTGAATCTGGTCTGAAATAGTTTTCGGCTGATTTCTAGCCGGTCCGTCTCATTACCAGGAGTTTTCTGTCACGACTTCGGCTCGTGTAATCATGGCGCCTAATCATCATCCGGCAGTTTAAAACCACAACGACCAACACCACGCTCTAATAACGCTGCCACAGATTTATTCATGACAAATATAATTAGGAAGGGAAGAAGAAGAAACCCTGATGGAGGAGGAGGAGCAGGACCGGAGGACGAAGACGAAGAGGCTCCAAAACAAAACAGAACAACAGGAAACAAATCAGATATTTTTACCTTCAGTTTTTAACTACTGCTGCAAACTTTCTGCTATTTTAGCTGTTCGTAAGTCGTAACGTTCGGCTCTTTCAGCTCACAGCTGCTGTGATGTTTAATTTCTGTAATTTTCAAAAGATTTAACTTTATTTACAAGTATAAGACCATAGAAATATGCTTCTTTTAGCCTTTAGTTTGTGCTCTGCTTCTTTTAGCATTTAGCTAATATTTAGCTTCCTTTTGCATTTAGCTAGTGTTTTGCTTCATTTAGCATTTAACAATTGGTCTCCTTTTGACATTTAGTAAGTGTCTCCTTCTTTTAGCATTTAATTGATGTTTTGCTTCTGTTAGCATTTATCTAGTATGTTGCTTCTTTTAGCATTTAGCTTGTGTTCTGCTAGCGTTCAACTCAGTTTCAGTGTTTTTCAGTAACTTCCTGCAGTATGTAGAATTTAAGCTGTATTTTTGTTGTGTTATTTATTATCTGTGGTTAAAATCTGACAGCTGACCTGTTGATATGTTGCTAGCACACACATAAATCTACACAAATAAAACCATAGAAGAAGAGTTTTATCTGAGCAGGGAGGAAACAGTTAGAATAAAACTAAAAATATGAAGAGGAAGAGGAGAGGTCTCTCAGATGTTTCTGAGCTGAAGATTTATTCCTGCGACCCGTCGACCCTCGCTACTCATTAGCATAGAAACCACTTTCCCCGGCTGCTGATTGGACGGGAGCGGGGTGGGGGGGTGACCCGCCATCAGAAGCAGCTTCAAACGCAGGTGATTCTTCCTGTCGCCTCTCCTGCTTCCTGTTTGTTCATTAGCAGCCCACCCCCTCCCTCCACCCACATAAATATTTAGAAAAAGAGTGAGATTAGATCCGCAGCCCCTCCGCCCACAGCTGACCTCCATCTGAGCCTGGCCTGTAGCTCCAACACAAACTCATTATTTCAGCTGATTTATGCTCGGCACGTGAGCAGATATTAAATTCTTCCTGCTGCAGCTCCACACACAGCTCACTGCTGGTCCACATGGAGACTTTTCCTCTTTCTGCTCCTCCTGGATCCATCAGGCTAAAAATAACTGAGTTAATGAATTCAACTGGAGTCAGAAAGATGGATTTATTATTATCATTATTGTTATTTTTATTATTTTTATTATTATTATTATTTACAGTGGTTTGCAAAAGTATTCATACCCCTTGAACTTTTCCATATTTTGTCACATTACAACCACAAACATAAATA